GTCTGGAACAACATCTACTGTGGCAACTTCTTGATTGTTTCAATCTCTGAAATTTTCCATTCAGTAATTTCAATACCGCAACTTTCAAAATTGACTAAATCGTGATGTGCGAGAATAATAAAATCACGATAAATTCTGTCCTTAAATACAACGACTTAACAATTTAATGAGTTCCTAACGATTTCGGTATATCAGGAAATTAAGTTACGGATGAACTTACAAAAATCAGATCTAGTACAGCACCTGGTTGGTGGTAGTATTCAATCCGAATCAAATAATGAATTGCGAAATCACGATGGTTGCAGGGACACTACTTTGTTCAGTCTGTATAACGAACCTGGGAACCGGATTCCAGGTACACTTCTACAATAAATTTATTTGATAGGAGCAGTGGAAAGTTTGCAATGGTATGACGTATGCCATAGACAGAGGTTTTGCTACTGGAAACTAGGTTTCTCTGCTGTGAAATCAATGGATTCGTGGTAGAAATGTAAATATCTACCACGCCCTGTACGGTTACTAACGAAATGTGTATTTCGTTTGTGCAGGAACGATTTATTGGTGATCACAAATGGGAATTTTCCCCACATTGGAAATGGTCACTAACGAAATGTTTATTTCGTTAGCCGTTTATTTGGTATGGGTGATAATATCTCTGTGTAATTATCACCTTACCACTTGATTTGCTAACGAAATGTTGATTTTGTTAGTAATAAATAAGCAACAGACATGTGTTTTTTTATTACTTAATAAAAGACATGGGAATAGCAATGTAAATTTCTATTCTACGGAGCTACTAACGAAATGTTGATTTCGTTAATAATAAATATGCAATAGGAATGTGTGCTTAGGCACTTATGTTTGGAGCGATCTGTCTTCTAGCTCGTTACCTTGCTCACTGTCCTGAGAATGACTGCTGAAGAAATGTGAATTTCTTCGAAGTATAATTGATCTTGGGTTAGAAATGTGGATTTCTAACCCGCTTGAAAATTGCTTTGTTGAAGAAATGTAAATTTCTTCCTTGCATTTAGGCGGCACTATGAATACGATCTGATCGTAAGGTCGCTGTGTCGATTGCGATTTTGCTTCGCCTTTTATACCGGAGAAGTGTGATGTATGCTGGTGGTTTGTTCTTGCGAATGCAACGGCGTTTTGTTTATAAGTTTTTATTATTGTTCTGTTCTTATTTATTGTATTAAATTTGGTGGTGGTTTGTAATACTTGTTACTTTTGTTATTGTTTTATTATTATTCTTCCATGTTGAAGCATAATATTTTGTTTGTAAAATTTTATTTTACAAGCCTAAACTCAGGGGAAAGACTACAGGCTATCGTGTGATTATATGTTGCAAGCACAGTAGATTACATATTCGTGCGATCACTGGTCACTCCACTAGTGTAAAATATTCTTTTATTTTGGTTTTCAGACAATAGTTTATGTCCACTTTGTTTGTAGCACGATATCACTATGCAACATATCATATGTTTCTGTTCTGCTGTCTCAAGACTTACACTTAAAGTACACCAAGTACGAAAGTCGGAAGTAGCTCAAATATCAGTTCCTTATCTCCGATTCTATGGTATTCATTCTCCGCTTTCTTAATATAAGTTAAAAGTTTTTGCACTTTATCGGAATGAGATTCACAGTTCAATATACCTTCTCTGTCTAAGTGTTCTGTTTCTTTCGATAGCTTTCATCTACTGAAAAGCAAAACATTACAAAATGTGATGAAAACAAAATAATTTTTTAAAACATCCTCTTTTCATGTAGTTATTAAATGACAAAAGAGCTAGTATTTGGTGTTTCATAATTCTTTGAAAATTAAAAACTTCACAATTATTATTCGCTTTAATCCAAAAATTACTTATTTAATTTGTTTTCTACTGCCAACACCTTATTCGTCAAAAATACAGATGGCATAAAAAAGACCATTAAAATAGTGTTCTCCAGTTTTTTAAATATCGGAAACGAATTTGGCCAGCTTCTTGGGTCAAATATTTAATGCACATAAATAACAATTTGTTTCTACGGGCTAATTTTTTATTTATATTGAAAGAAATTGTATTTTATTAAAATATCATTCAGATATTTTGATTGTCTGCGATAGTCATCTTCAGGAAACCTAACGAATTATACAATGTAAAATTTTTAAAATGGGAAAATTAGAAAGAAAATCATACAATAAGTACAATAATAATTATAACAACAAAAACAACAATAAAAAAGATAATAAAAATAATAAAAAAACATGTACAATATCCTGTGGCATTTGTTTATAATATTCCTATAAGCCTGGTCACAGTTGTCCGTATCCGTTTTATAATTTAGTCTCTTGCTATTCGGGATTTTTAGTTGTGAAAGCATTTATAGAAAGTACCTGAAAATTCCGAATAGCAAGAGACTAAATTATAAACCGGATACGGACAACTGTGACCAGGCTTATAGGAATATTATAAACAAATGATAGAGGATCTCGTTAACAACAAACTAGCAAAAACACCTTTGTGAAAACTTATCCAAAACAACGTTTAATTCATTCAATTTAGAAATTGCAACCTTTATTGTCATCGAAGCTACAGAATTCACCAAAGCTTATAGACAGCAATTTACATATCATGTCACCACAGAAGCATCTACGAATGGGTTTAATCTTAAATCGCTTTAAATAAATAAAAAAATTATATCTATTCCTTGCAAAAACAACAACAAGTAGCTTCATTAACTGTTCTGTAAAAACTGGGATATTCTAAGTTCTTTTGTGTGACTTAAATGGAATTTTAATCAGTTTCACTTAAATTAAATAAATAAAATATTGTTTTTACAGTTTCTTGTAATGCAGAAAGGCACTGCTCGCTTTAATTCTGCTAACTCATATTCCACTTTACTAGTTATTTAATGACAAATACATTTCCTTAGCATTAATATGCTTTAATTTAAGTGTGTTTATTCTCAGATTGCAGTTACATAAAGGAAATTGTGAGTCGACGAAGACATGCTGAGATTCCGCTTTTGCCTTGCGAAAAATATAAATCTTAAGTTTCATGTTTCCTCCCATTCAAATCAAAAACAACTTGTCTTACTAGTCAAACATCCTGCCTGATAAACTGCACTCCTATACAATTTGCGTGCCAACTTTTTGGGCGTTCGAACCATTGCTGTGCGTGTTGAGATGTATGAATGCGTTATTATATTTTGCTTTATATTCTAATACAAATTCATAAAATATATACTTATCTGTTTCCTTTTCTTGTGTAGCTTGAACTGTAAAAACTTAACATGTCAGATGAGCAGCAACAGCAATCACAGCAGCGACAGCAGCAGTTGCAATTACAACAACAAAATCAAAAAAATTCCAAGGATATGAGCACAAGCCATTCTGCATGTAAAACGAATATCAATGATCTTCGTAATCAGGATTATGTAAGCCGTCTAATGGCTGCTACACCACCGTATTTGTACTCTGCTCCAATAGGTCCAAATAATTATTTCTTCAGTGATATGTTGCGCACATTGGTTCAGGCACGCAATAATGAAAATGCTCGTAACTTGCAAATGCAGCAATCTGTGCTATCTCGTCGACCACGGAAACGTTCGTGGTCACAGCACAGATTACCATATTATGAGCAATTACGTGACCGTAAAGAAACTGAAGAAAAGCATAACAATTTAAAAAGTCATGGTGCTAGAGTTAATTCAGAGAAGCCGTTAGAACTGACTAATAAGTCATATTTTCAATTACAAAATAAGTGTTGGAAGCTTGATGAAACCGTAAAAGATGTAGATGTTAAGCTTCCAATCACAACATCTTCCAGTGAGACACTAGAACTGGAAGAAAACGGTTCTAACCCTACAACTGAAAGTGCGAATAGTGGTAGTAATGCCATAGATAATGTACCGTCGGCTGCTTCACTACCACCACAAGATTTAGTTTTACCACCTCCACCTCCAGTTTGGTATCCACCTTTGTACTCACCCTACGGCATAGATCCATTACATTTCTTTATTGACTTACGTGTTTCTGGTCATATATATGATCGAAAGAAAGAAAATGTTTCACCTCTCACAAGTACAGAGAACAGCAGTCCTAATAACGAGAATGGAGTGGAATCGAATGTGGTAGCATTACCGAATAAACAACGGCATGGTTCTGCATTTACTGTTCCCGTTCCACGTTCCAACGATATAAAATCTACAGTTCTTCCTTCCGATGCTATTAACTTAGTGACCACTTCGAATGTGGCCAATAAATTTGAAAATTATGTGAAATACTATGACTTAGGTGAAACTAAAGAAAATCATCCAGTCACAAAAAGCAGTACCAGTTACATGCTACAGCATTTGCCTCGATTATATCAATTTGCAGCGCGCGATCTTATTGCTGCTGAACAGAACACAGGCTGTACATTTGATATTGACAATAAGTCAGATGCTGATTGCGATGCTGATTCTGATGGACGCAATTCTGTCGAGAATTGTAATGAAAATGTCAACAATAGAGAACGAGATATTGATGTTGAAATAATTGACACCATCAAATATCGCACTGACGTCAATAGTAGCCGATGTACAAGTCCGGATGGGTCCACCGTTGCACAAATTGATTAAATTCATGTAATTATATTTATATTATTTTAATTTATAACTACAGATAATAAAATTAAAAAAAATCAAATTGAACTTGCAGTTCTCAGAACAGATCTACATTAATTGAAAAAAATTTTCTTGATAATAATAAAACTAGAATATTTGGTTTAGTAAACTGATAGATTAGTGACGCAGCTCGAATTTATTAAGTTATAAACTAGGAATATAATCGCAAAGAAATTAAACGTATCAACTTCGATAACGTTGAAGTGCTAACATACAAAAGGAGCAGGTGTCGC